CATACCGTGGTATATAATATAATAATTATATAATATATTAATATATATAATTTATTTTAAATTTTATTATATTATTTCATTTTATTATTGTATATATAAATAATTATATACATCAACATACATATAAAATAAAATTTTAAGATCTTTTTTAATTATATATATATATATATTAATTTATGTTAAAATTTTTATTATTTTTCAAAAATTTTAAAAAACATGGCTTGGCCCAATCTACAGCTCGGCCTGGACCAAGGCTAGGTCCATAGACCAGCCCAGCCCGTGGCACGACATGGCACAACATGGATCCACATGGGCTCAGGCCATGGGCCATGCCGGGCCGATTCTCCAAAATATCTCAGGAGAAAGAAGCACGGCTGTTGTGCCATGTCAACCCAGTATGGCCCAATTTACACCTCTAACCAAATTGAAAGAAACATTGTTACTACGTGATGTGGAACCATGATCAAAACCAAACGATTTATTTACAAAATGAGTCATTTTATGGAACAACTCCTAACCCCAATATAAGCAACATTGGTAGAGGTAATCCACAGAGTCGAGATTGACATCATTAGATGAAAGTCGGGAGATCAAATCAGTTCCCATAAGATTGCCTCCCACAGCACATTCCGGCCGTGTATTAAAAATATCTCCAAATGATAATATAAAAAATAATTTTATTATCGAGAGATATTCTCAATACAAGGCGGAGATGTGCGGACGTTGTTGACTTGTGGGGGCTGATTTTGAACTCGCAAGTCGGACATTCCATCATGGACCATTGGAGCGTCAATGCAAGGATTATGCGTCAACCCACAGTATGCTTACCCAAAAAAAATGTGTCAATTCATGGTCCGGGCTCACGGAGTTCAATATAAATTTATAAACCTGCCTTCCAATCTACCAAAATAACCTTAGGGTTTTCAATGCAAATATGCGATAAAAATTGAGAAGGCCTTAGGTTTAATCGGATCGAATTCAGAAAATTTTGAATCTGAACCGATTATTGAAAACTTATATTGATTGGATTTGAAGATCTTGGATTCAAATTGAATCTTAATGAATATGGACTGTATTTGAATGTAATTTGGTTTTACTTTAATTTTAAAATATAAAAAAATATAGAAAATTAATTATTTTTCAATTTTTATATATTATAAAATTTATAAAAACATTTTTTTTAATTTTAAATATAATTATATAAAATTTATATATTAAAATCAATAAATATTATAATATAATTGGGTTCGGGTGGAGTTAAATCCAAATCCAACCCAATTACATAAATATATCATCTAAGTCTGAGATAAGATCGAATTGTGGATCGAGCCACAAATTTGTAGGTATCATTGATGGACCTACTTCGGCTGTTAGCGTTTTAACTTTCGAAAAATAAAATTTGAGGATAAAATTGTTTGAATTTCAAACGAGAAATATAAAGAATTTAAGTTGGGTAGATCGTTATTACGGGTTTGATAGGTAGGGCTGTTATTCTCTCATTTTCTTTCCTATTTTTTTTCCTCCAAGGTTTTTCGGGCTTTTCATAGCTTGGAAGACCAAAATTATAGTCTCTCTCCATTTAACAACAAAAGATGGAAAGCCAAAGTGACCTATTCTTTAGAAGGTTTACAGAAACCCAAAATGGCCTAAAACTGAAAAAGTTTCAAATATCCTTCTGCTCCATTTTTATAACCCAGTAACAAGGGATAGTCACCAAATGATCTCGGTCTTTAAAAGACAAACTCCAAAAAACTAGGGATGTCTTTTGGTCTGTTTGGCTGCCGTTGAAAGTTCTACTAAAAAAGACTTACCAAACAACCCCTAAGTTAATTGATTGTTATCCTTTTTTGTTCTCCATCGACCCGCCAGTGGACCAAGCTTGATTATAATCGTTTTCGGTTGGATGAGGGTTGGGTTGCCCACAATTCGTTCTTCTTTTATGTGAAAAACAGAAAATAATACATTACAGAAAACACGAATTGTCTAATACTATCTGCATCAAAATTCGAACAAATGTCTAACTTTGTCACTTGTCTCATATTCAAAGGATTAAGACCTCATATCAAATGATGGGATCTTGTTTGTAGATTAATTGGATCAAAATCAGCTTGAAAAACACATATGTTCGTAGTTGTATTTTTGTTGTACATTTGGACATAGAAATCTCTCAACAATAATGCAAGGACTAGAAGTTAATACCTAGCCACAGTAGCCACACACCAAAAGAAAATAACAATGGCAAGTTATCGAATAATGTTGATATTTTCATGGCATTTTCTTAAGTGGGACATGTCTGGTTCTATATTTTGACCCCCAAATGTGTAACAGATGGCAATTATTGTGGCCCTATTCCACAATTACATGTTGAAGCCTTGACTTGAGGCCAAGACTCATTGCTTTTTGATTTCTTTGTTGGCTAGATGGAACACTAGTTTGGCCGGTCTAAAATGTCTTATCTGGTTGGGGAACATTGGTTGGCCACATAAAACAGTTTGTTTGTTCATATCAATCTCTACACCATACCACATGTTGGACAAATCTTGTGGGAATTGTTCTAAGAAGTGGATATACAGCTGGGATAGATACTTGCTACGAGGCTTTGTTGATGTGAGAAAGGTATTGTTTAGTATCGTAGCCGTTTATTTTAATAAATGTTTTATACTTTTTTATTTTGAAAAACGAAAAAAATGGATGATAAAAGTTTATTTAGTTTTATTTCACAATTAGGCGCCATTACACACCATAAGCTCAACAGTAAATAAATGACTAGGTGCTAAGGGAAGCACAGAAAATATTTATTTAATAAATGATCTTATCAAATAATGATGTTTCCTCTAATACCTACATAGCCATGACTCGGCACTGCTTTTCAAATAAATCACAAAACCAAAAACACTATCAAAATCTATGATACAGAAAGATATACTATTGGAAAAGCTTTGACCAATCAAAGCAACTCTATGAATTTTGATTAATACCACCTGATTGGTCACATCTTTCATAATACGGGTTGATGGTTTGTGAGCTTTTCCATATCTTTCTCCTGTCATAGTCAACCCCCGTGGACGATGACTTTGGTAGATTTCTTGTGAAAATTCTAACCTCTAAATTATAAAAATAGAAACAATGTAGATGATGGAAGCATATGATCAAACCCATGTAATTACAGGTTCTCTCATAGTAAGTGAATCTCCAGTGCACCCTATATCTCCACCCCTTAAATCACTTCGCAATGTATAATATGTAACATTGAGCAAATCATTTTTTCTACTTCATCAACCTTGTAAAATAAGATGCAATTTAGACCCATTTTCATATTCAATTTCTTGCACAAAGTGGGGGCCATGTTTTTACTCCAATCATAAAAATTTATGTGTGATACCAAAAAAAGAAAAAAAGAAATCCTTATTTTACACGTGGCAAAGTTCTTATGCTTGATTCTTAGTGGACAGGGGAATGAAGTGGCAAAATCATGATCTTAAGCTAAGATTTTACACTGCACATATTTGTATAGAAAACCTCCATCTCCAACAGATTGGAGTAAGCTTAATTGGTTGACATCACCCCTTAAAAAGTTTCACCTAGTGGTTAAGTATTTTATTTTATTTTTGATAAACTAGTGGTTAAGTATTTGACCATTTACCAACCCATCAAATGCAATAAGTCTATTAACTTTCACAAGTTTTAGTTTAATTAATTAATATATTATACAAATTTTGGGGGTCAAACCCCTATCAATCTCACCATGGATCTGCTATTCACAGAGTGCTCCTCACACTGACCACACAACATATCTCAACTCCTTGAGTTCAGGAGCAAATTCCAATTCTTAATCTAGGGTTTGTAGAAATAGATGTGGGACGCCCATGCAAAATCTTGTTTGTAGCAGTAGATTCGAGTAATAGCCATGCTTTTTTTGTTTTAGTCTAGATGTCCTGCTCAAACAAATTCTGCCCACGTTTACCTACATAACATCGCAGTCATACATGAGATATTCTCAATTCACAATGTACGTATTGTGGGTAGACATGAACAGAGTTCTTCTAATTAGGTGATCCAGAGTCTTTTTGTTCTCCACTTGTATTTGCTTCTTTTAAATTTTAAATTTGAATTTTATCTCAAAATGTATTTTTAATAAATAGGGATATAGAATTTTTCAGACTATATTGTATGAATCTACATTAGGAAAACACCAATAAATGGTACAAAATACCTTTACTACGGATCATTTAACTCATTTGGCGTAATCTGCAGCATTGGGTCCCCACCAAGGGCCCACAGTCAACAAGTAGATTGATGTCAAATTGTATAGATGCCAATGAAAATTGTCGTATGTGTTGGATAGATTCTCATCCGACGACTAAAAATCCCACGGGTCACAATATTCAGAGGGCCCACATGACTGAAACGTGAAACCCAAACCCCGTTCGAGACCGGATCACTTACACACATTCCAACCCTCTACCAACATCATCTCACACCGTACATTTGATCTCATTTTATGGTATATGCAGTCTGAAGTTAAGATGTGCGGTGTGAGATGATATTCGTAGAGGGTTGGAACGTCTTTTATTGACAGAAAATCTCAATTCAACCCGTTCACAGAAAAGCAAGTGAACTGAAGTAGTGAAGTTATCTGTGCCGGGTACACCTCACATAAGCTCGAGACTATTTATAACCGGTAATTTACGTAAGACTTAAGAATCTCTTGGGACGTTTTTTATGGAAAAAATAAAAAGGATTAACCTGAAAGGGTAATATCGACATTTAAACTAATTTGTCGTTTACGCATCTCCGACAAGCGGTAGAGGTGAGGCTTTATATGTAATTTCGTGGAAAAGTAAACGGACAAGATTCGAACCGACGACATCTATGGCGGAAAGAAACTCAAAATTTAACGGAGAAGACGGACTTTTAGGGTTTTCGAATTACGGCGTTATTGACGCCGTTAAAAGCTGACACTGTCACACTGGTCGTGCTAGATGTATAAATACCAGACACGGACAGTATCACACTACCGCGACTGACGGACAGAGCTCGAGAAGGAAGAAGGGGCTGTTGCTGCGTCACTTTACGCTTACAGAAGCTCCAGGAAGGAGAGATCTCAGATCGGAGAAGAACTGTAAGACACCTCCTGCATTTTCTCTCTCTTTTTCCTGATATTTTTGTTGTCGTCCATCTAGTTGATTTCGTGAATGCAAGTTGTGCGGTTCGAAGAGTAGAGGAGCTGAGGATTGATTTTGTTTTGTGCCGTTTTGAAGGTTTTCTGATAATTGATCTGTGAATCAGTTGGTTTTTGTCTGTTTTGATCTGATTCATTGCTTTCTATGCTAAAATCCGATGAAAGTAGGAGATTTTGCATTTGCTTGATTTGTTTTGTTGTTCTTTCATGCACATTTCAGTGTCATTTGCGTGCATTCGTTTTGTTTGTGGTTATTTGGGCCGTTTGTTGCACAATGAGTGAATTTTGTTCCTATTTGCTTTGTTTTCTTGTATAGTTTTCTATGAATCTAGTGGAGAAACAGGAGATTTGCTTGCATGTGGTGCATTTTTGCTCTCTTTCTCACTTTTATCTTAAAATGGTGGAGCAGTGTTTTCCGTTTCTCATTTTAGATTTATCTTTTTTTCTGTATCTCTTCACAAGTCGATGGGAAGAGACATTATTTTTCTTTTGTTTGCTTCTTTTCTTCCATTTTTTTTCTCCAAATGGGTTTGAAAACGAGCGACTTTCCTTTTGTGTCTGACTTCAATTAGTTATTAATGGGAGCAGGGACAAAATTAGCAATTTTTCTACACATACACTTCCCATACTTGTATTCAAATCTATGTAAGGAAAAGAATGCTTCTTCTACATTCTGTTTCTGGTTTGGGGGGAGCAGCATTTTGTTTTTTTTTTTTTCTTTGTCTTTGACTTGGTACATATTTTATGTTTTCTGTTGAAATTTTCCTGAATCTATTTATTTGGAGCAGCTAATTATAAACGTTTATGGGGTTTCTGAATGTTACATTTAACGAAAACATTTCACTTCAGTTTTAACAGCACCGGAATCCAAAATATTCACTTAAATTGACTCGTTTTTGGTTATCAAGAAAAACTGGAATTCAGTTTGTTTTTCAAAAAAAGAAAAAAACGTTTGCTTATAAATTAGTGACATTGTTTCCATATCAACAACCAGAAATGACCCCGACTTAGATACTGAAGTTCTGTTTTCAAATGGAATGAAAGACAAGACCGTGAGATCATTTTATTCCAAGCTTTCTTCAGAAGTCCTATTTATTAATTAATTCACGCATTGCAAGTGCCTCTCTTCTGTTCCATGACTTCACCTTTAATTATTCTCTCAAACATATTGGCAGAACCAAATCTCTATTACTTAATAGATAGAAGTTTAATAATGATTTTGGTACTCATAGTTGTCCTCATCTTTTTGTTGCTTGTTCATGTTATTTCATCAGAAATAGTAATTCCAAAGTTATTAAGTTCCAACCAACCCACTCCCCCGCAATAAAAATGAGTTCAAGCTGAGTTCTGTTGTTTAACTTTTGGCAGTGCAAATGGGGAGAGAAGTTAAAGAAATTTGTACGGAGAAAGAGCAAGATCCTGTCATAGTTTATTCAAATGGGGATGCACATGATTCGGATGATGGTGATATTCCTAGGAATCATGATCTCAAAGAGTCCGTTGAGCATGTTAAGGGGGATGCAGAATCCTTAATTCTAGAAGAGAAGACTGAATTAAAAAAGTATGAAGTTAAGGAATACACTACAGAAAGCTCAGTTGAGATCACTGGGCTCCAACAAACTGAAAGTGGTCACAAGGAGAAACAAGATGTTCTTTATGTTAAAAGCACAGATTTTGAGGTTGGCTTGCCTGGTGAGGAAACAGTGAAACCTGAATTGCAGAAGGCAATGAATCCTAAAAAGTTGAGTTCACCTGTTAAACTGGGAACAAAGTCTGCTGCTGTTGGGAATTCTCGGCAAAACTGTACCACTCCTCCTCAGCCATTTGCTCTGTCAAATGATAAGCGTGCTTCATATGGTAGTCGGCCTGTTGAGGCTGAAGGTGGCTCTGGTGGCACAAGCAAACCACCCAATGCTAACAATTTGAAATCCCCTAATACTGTGAAGAAGCCTCAGGTGATGGTTTTGGTTTTGAAGTCATGATTGTTTGATTGGTGACCATTATTTTCTTTTCCATTTCACTCTAATATGTATGTGCTGATGAAGCATTATAAAAGTGGAGTTAACCCGTCAATAATTACCAGTCGAGTTCTTCGTTATGATAATCATACTAACTTTTGCTTTTACTATTTTCTTTTTATTGTCTATTCCTGGTTTACCATGCTTTTGTTTCTTCCTTTCTGCTAGTAGCGTTGGTAGTATGCATCATGTACGTTTATAGGAACTTGTAATGGGTTATGACCTTCATGTTTTCTTTTCTCTTGGATGTTGGCATCTCTTTCTTCATAAGCATTAGTATGTTCTCCATGTTTGCTTCACTGAATTAATCCTTTCTACCTAGTTGCTGCAGGAGTCTTGAGTTAGCTTTTTTTTTAATCAGTAGCATTACTGAAGAATTTATTAAATTTTAGGCAAAAACTCCTCCCAAAGCTGGGATAAGAGAGCCGGTACAAAGGAAGTTGCTGACACCCAAGTTATATATCTGTTTCCACTGTTTTACATAGTCAGTCTTCAGTTACTTTGGTTTTGACATCCAAAATGAATCTTATAATGGTTCAGTCAGCTGCTTGTCTGACCTTACCATGCACAGGCTGTTGGAAACCAGAACTACTGAACGAATTGAGAATCATTTATCAGTTACTTCTAACTAGATGCGGATTTTATTTAACTTCCCATCTCAAGTTTCAATTTCATGCAGCCTATGCCTAGCACATCTTTGGTATCAAGGAAGCCACTGCAACCTAATAATAAAAAGCATGTTGATGAAGAAGATGCTTGCTCTATTGCTTCTTCGTATCCATTGAGTTCAAACAAATATTTTTTCCCTTGTTCTTTACTTGTTTGAAATTACAGTTTGTCCTTAGCCATTGGTAGGACCAGGACTGCAGCATCTGTGCGAACGTTAAAATCCAGGGCAACCATTCCATCAGCTCCTAGATTCCACTGCACTGAACGTGCAGAGAAACGGAAGGAGGTAATTTAGTTGGCAAACTTTTGTTTTGTCCCAAACTTAACGTTTTGGTGGTTTCCTTCACAATTATTATTTTTCTTTGATCTTCCAGTTTTACTCAAAGCTAGAGGAGAAACACCAAGCTCTGGAGGCAGAGAGAACCCAGTGTGAAGCTAGGACCAAGGTACTTTAGTTTTTCTTAAGCATTAGTGTAGATGAATATACAAACAGAAAATGCGTGGATTTAACATCCATTATCTCTGGGGAGCTTTTTGGGTAACATAATAAGAATTATGTGGATCAGACATAAGTTCTGCATTTTGACATGGATGCCAGGTACCACATATCTTCTTGAATCTACAAACATGGATATGGGTTTGGTGGTAAGCATATGTGATAGTTAATTATAGGTCATGTGCAAAAGGGAGTGCATGAAACATGTGGGTTGTTGGACACTGTAGAAGAAATGATTTTGAATTAATACATAACTGCAAATGTTTCACCAAAAAAAACATTGATATAGTTACATTTTTGCGCTGTAGGCTTTAAACCTGTCAAGACATTACACATGACAACTTAGAAGCGAAAAAACATTATGCATGACAATTATATCGCTGTTGTTTCTACCTGAAACGTTTTGGGTTGATCAATATAAATTGGCATATAATTATTATTTGAGGTTATTTATGGTTGAAATAGGCACAACTTAAAAATGCATGTCTGAGAGACTGTTTCTAGAAACATCGATGTTTCTTGCTCCAGGGGGTAGTCTAATTATTCTAGCTGAAACACTGTTTTCAAAACCGGACCGGAAAAACTGGGAACCGGTGACCGGTTCTGTTTTCCTCCAAAATCGCTTTTTCCTCCAAAACCGTTGATTTTGGTCAGCAAACCGCTGAACCGGCCGGTTAACTGTTCAAACGGTTTTGATCGTTTTCCAATTTTTTAAAATTTTTATTTTTTTTGTCAGGATGGGCCGGCTGTCGGGTCAAATGGTCGGACTGTTTGAACCGGTAACCGGACCCCTGACCGGTTCGGTCACCATTTCGTTTTTAAAAACCATGAGCTGAAGTAACTCTCACATGTGATGTGACAACACATCTCTTACCAATTTGTAGTGATAAACCCAAAACGTACGTTTCAGGTAGAAACATCAATGGTGACAAACAGAACTATATGATTATCACGTGCATCTGTAGCACAGTCTAGTATCATTTCTTGTTGGTTGTTTTACTATAAGCAAATCTGCTGTCCAAATTTGCCGCTTCTGTTCTCCATCAATTTTGATCTATCCAGGAGGAGCGAGAGGCGGCTCTAAAGCAACTTAGGAAGAGTTTGATGTTCAAAGCAAACCCAATGCCAAGCTTTTACCACGAGGGACCACCACCTAAGGTTGAACTTAAGAAGGTAATGCATACATCTTCCTTGCTCTGCCTTCTAAGCTGCAAGCATGCTAATCATTTTCATTAGAGGAGAACCACAAACATTATTTTCATTTATGAATGCCAGCCGCCTCCAACTCGCGCAAAATCACCAAAGCTAGGCCGTCGGAAGAGCTGCAATGATGCAGTCAATTCATCGCAGGGAGAAAGAATTTGCGGCCGAACTACTCGTCACAGTCTTGGTAGTTGCAGAGAAAATACAGCTGCTGCTACTACTGCTGCTGCTGATAGTAGTAACAACAACAAATGCCAGATCAGCTGTAAAAATGCAATCAGCAGTGGCAAAGTTAAAAATGGGACCAAACAGGTAAGGGACACAGCCAAGTCTGTTCCTCCCAAGATTACTGAGCAGAGGAATGTGGACATTACAGTCCAATCATGAGTCTCCCTTTGATGATTTTGCTAATTTAAGGAGGGAAAAAAATTAAGTTTATTTCCTTTTTTTTTGTTTTCTGAGATAAAAAAAAAGAAATGTATTGTCTTACTCTTCCCTCAATTTGCAAGGACTTGTTGCAGCGGCCTGTGTGAATTGTGATATATGATGTAAATTTTCTGTTAGTTATTTACTCAAATATATATATATATATAATATATATATATATATATATATATATATATATATATATATAATATAAGAGCTCTTATCTTAATAGTAGTAGCATGATAGCTGTCTGCTTCTATGAAACAAATTTATGGTGGCCCGACCGCCCACACTATTGAATCTGTCCGGTCCAGAGTCTCCAGACCGGTCCCAATGGTCATTACTCATTACTCTAGTCTAAACTGTCAGCATCATCTATGGTCAAAAGTACTACTAGTCTATTAGTAAAAGGAAAAGAGGAGTGGACTGGATATTTTATTCATTTAAATTATCACCCTTTTTTTCGGTGGAGATGATGCTACAGATGTGGAAGCAAAGTTGCCGTTCAAAAAGGGCACCTTTGGCTTTTACGACTTGTTTACATGGACCGACAACTTCTTTATTCCCAACTCTGTTTTCATCTCTTTTTGTTTCATATTCCTACTTTAGTTTAACCGGTTTATTTTATGGTAATCCCATGTGTGCGGCCTTCTGAAAAGTTCCCATTTGTCTCCATGATTCCCCAGGGATGATGTTTCTTGCGTTTCTTGGATCTGTCAGAGGCCATTGGTTCTGGGGATATCTTCTATTAGTCTCTGTTCTGGATATAATATGGGCCTGGCTGAGCAAATTGATGTATTTTGTCACCCTGCATCTCTTCACTCTATCATGATTTGACAAGTACTGAGAACGAAATATGAGAACAGTTTGTTTTTGCCCGTCGAAGAGGTTCATGCATACAGCATGGGCATGGGCCATGGGGTGGACTGTGAACGTGAACCATGCCTGAGCACCAACGGTCTAGGGACCTATAAGCTATGAACAATCTAAGAGGCAATGTTTGGATTGTGGGTGTGGGAAGGATTCCAATTCCACTTTCACTCATATCATGTGTGGGATTGAAATGGTCATTCCTTGTCTCCAACTGCCACTAGGGCTAAAGGTGTAGTTGAGGTGTAATGCCCAAAAAGCTAATTTTTGAGTAAGGTTTTGACAGGTTAAAGTCATAATTGAAGTGTAATGGCATAAAAAGGTAAGGTGTTGTCATACATAACCCTCAAATCTTAAGAACAATTAATTAAAATTTATAAACTGATAAAAATAACATTAATTAAGGTTTATAAGCAATAAGCTGCACTGGTTCAGCATTAAATAAAATAATAACCGATCAACTAATAATTATAAACATTTTACCTCTCATGTCTCAAAATGCTTGATTACCCAAAAAAAAACGTGTCAAAATGCAAAGTTCTCAAATAATTCAAATGATCAATTTATAAGAAAAGAAACATATAAAGGATCATATATGAAATTGGATATTAGATTGATGGTAATTCAACAGTTTAGAAGAAAGAAAATAACTTAGTTAATTTGACCTATGGCTATATGCAGAAAAAGAAACTAAATCCATTAAGAAAAGGAATGAGAATAACACACTTGGGATGTTAGATATAGAATAATAAGAAAATTCATTTGATATATCAGGGGAAAATAAGAACCTGATTGGCCTTTTCTGCATTGACTTTCCTAAAACACTAAAAGAAACTAATAGAACTTGATTTCCCTTATTGATTTTTCATTTTTATTCGAAGAAAAACTAAGAATTCTTTTTACACCTCAAGCTAGGCCTCATACCTTTAGGCAAAATCTGTATACCTTGCCTCAAGATGTTAAAACATCAAGAATTAATCCTTTTAAAACGATGTTTTTCAGTCCGAAAATATTTCTTTTTGCAATTTCCAGAACCAGTGGAATTGACATTCCCAATTATGCGACTAAGGTGGTGTTTAGCATTGTGTTCATCTCGTGGATGGACCATTTTGGTCCATGCCACAGGACGAACATAGTGTTCGACTGGTCGTGGATGGGACCTGTCCACATTATATCATGGATTGGCCCTGTCCGCACCCCAGTTTCTCAACCACAACAATTTCACGTGCTTTATTTTGGTCTATAGTTTAAGTTTGATCCCATGCCATAACTCTCCTCCTCCGCATCTCTCCTCTGCTGCAACTCTCCACCGCGATTGCCTCGTTTGTTATTTTATGGTAATGCTCTAAAAACCGATCTAGGTAGCAACTGAGATCTTATTGCCATTAGTTACACAATATACTCTAAAAACAAGTAGATGATTGTTTTTTTATGGTTCAACTTCAACAGTATGGCCATTTGGTTTGAAATTTCTAGACAATGCTTCTAAGATGAGCTTAAAATAACATTATTTTAATATTATTGTCAATAAAATATTAATTATTTTACTTAATTTTTTAATTTTCTATCAATAAAATACTATTTTTAAATATTTAAAATATATTTTTTTTTATTTTTTAATTATTTTACTATTGTTTTTATAAAAATTAATATTTATTGGTTAATATTAATTCATTGATGCATTTTTCAATATATTTATCATATAAAATGCAAAAATTAGATATTTATGATTACCTGTGTAGATCAAAAAGTGTGGTGTGAACTAGTCTACACCACAGTTCAGAACAATTGTGGATTGTGGTGTGGTGTGGATTGGTTCCTGCCACAGGTTGTGGTGCGGAACAGTCTACACCCACCAATTTCTCATTCACACTACCAAATACTCCTTAAATCTAATTCTACCTTGTTCAAAATGCAACCTTAGCATGGGATGCCTTTAGCATGATATGCCTAACTGTGCTCACAGGCATGGTTTTCAAAACCGGACCGGACGGTCAGACTGGAAAACTGGGAACCAATCACTTGACCGGTTCCATTTTCCCCAAAAACCGGATTTCCCCCCAAAACCGTTGATTTTGGTTTGTGAACCGCTGAACCGGGCAGTTAACCGTTCAAACTATTTTGACTGTTTATTATTTTTTTGAAAATTTTTATTTTTCTGTCAGAATAGGCCGAGCATTTGATTTGAATGATCGGACCATTTGACCTAGTAACCGGACCCCTGACCGGTTCGGTTTTAAAAACCATGCTCACAGGTATCAATAATTTCATCCAGCGATTAATGTATTTTGATCTTTTCTTTTAAAAAAACAAAACAGAAGGGAAGCCAAAAAGGCGATTGGCCAGTATTGGCCCAAACTCCAATATTGGATTGGTTATAGACCCAACCTTCATAATTTTTGTGCTTAGTGGCCATTATCAAACTTGATTTTGCATTGTTAAGACATATGAGCCCCTTAACAATATGGCCAAGCGATAGTCAAACAATAGTCCATATCAAAATGGAAGCCCATGATATAAAAATTTGCCAAATGAGAACAGCAACAAATACACACTTCTATCACTCACATTGGGTCAAGATTTGAATCGAAACCCTTGGAAATTTATGATTTCAATAACTGTCTATCACCTTGAGTCAACAACATAAGGAGATTTGAGACCATATTAAACTGGGAACAGGGGTTGAGAAACCAATGACTTATGGATAGTAGCAGGCTGCGGATTGTGCTTTAAACTGGATAACTCTGTTTGGGTCAATGTTCTAAGACCTGGAACATAGTCGGAGTAATTAATTTACGAATTACGACCCAGCCGAGTCAGCCCCAAAGTTGGGCTTTGAAATGCCTGGTTTTGTAATACATTGACTTGATAAAACACTTAATATAGTTACACTAATTTAGTGTATATTAGACCTGTTTATGGGCGGGTTCAGGTTTGGTTTTCACCAAAATTTGGATGAACCTGGTCCAAAGCCCAAACCCAACACAGCATACTCGAAGCCCGGCCTGTGAAGAGGTTTAGTGTATACTATTTAACACTCATTTTTACCACATTGTTTTCTTTTTTCGTTGAGAAGTCAGCCCAATTGATTGGACCAGTCGATCTGCAAACAAGTAGCATGAGCAAGGCAACATCCAGCTGCGTTTCAGAAGACTGGTTTAGCTCACTTGGGTGGATCAGTATTGCTATTCTCTAAGGCTGTTTGGTTTGATAGAAAATAAGATAGTAGCACATATTTTGTTAAGAACTTTCTCTCAACTCTCTATTTTCCTCTTATTTTCTATCAACCAAATACAAGCTAAGGTCCATTCATGGTGTAGCAATGAGTTGGTCCAAGCCAACCTCATCTCATTGGTGAGACTATCATGTAGTGGCTTAGGGGCCATTCGATCACTGTTGAATTGAACGACTTATTGTTTTGCGGCTTCAGCCATTACCGAACCCATAACATCCTTAAAAATTTATTCACTAAAGCTATGTTTGGTTTGAAGAAAAAGTTTTGTAAAGGTCTCCTTACCTTTTCCTTCCTTTCCTTACTTTTTCCTTCAAACCAAATACAGCATAAAAGACAAAGCAATAAGTTGATTATTGGGTTTGAATGGAGTGAAAAAGTGTGATTATCTTGTGGTTTCTATGGAAAACCAAAAATTAGATTTTTTTTAATAAGAACACCATTCCCCCCAATTCTTCTTGATAGAGTTCCGAATTATTTATTGGATATCAAAAAAAAAAATTAAAGACTTGGTGCCTATCATGGGTAAATCATGGATTCCCATAGTTTCTTGCAGGCCTAAGATGGGATCTAGTAAAATTAATTTTGATGGGTCGATGTTTCGTTGCTTGTATTGCTAGCGATCATCTCAGGTAGCCCTTCACCTGAGTTTAAAGTATTGGGTTTTCTTCTATTAATCTTACTGAAGTCTGGGTTGTTTGGGAAGTGCACAACATTGCTCTCACCCCCCAATTGTTATCGAAAGTGATTCCAAACTTGTCATCGATTGTTTGTGAAAGATTATGGATCCACCATAAAGACTGAAGAACATCATTGAAGATTGCCTGCGTGTGAGTGTTTTACTGGATTGTGGGGTCATCTATGGGCATGCTTAAAGGAAGCTAATCAAGTTATCGACTGGTTGGCCGGCGCCCTGTTTAGCCCCTTTCTATTCTATTGAGGAAAAAACTCAGAATGAGCTAATTTGCTAATTAACCAATAAAAATGTGACCAAATGAACGTCTGCTTTTTTTCTGGTCTAAGTCTGATAACATTCGAAAGATAAAAACATGTTTTTTATCTTTTTTCTCACAAATATTTGTCAACACATACATATATACAAAAAAAAAACCTGTTTTTCCATGTGGGAGAGTATGTTGGCCCAATTTGGCTGCCACATGTTTAACATCATAGGGAAATTGGGTTTCTTGAGAGCTAGTCTGCTCTTGGTAGTAAAGTAAGTACAATTGCAGGAAAATCATATTTGTTTTTAGGCCTGTGTTTGGTTTGAAGAAAAAGGTAGGGAAAACTATGGGTACATATGGTGTGTTTTTCCACACGGTCTTTTGGTTGTTTATAAGTCGGATAGACCGATTTTCGGTCTATTTCCGTTTGACTTGCGGAAGATCTAGCCGCCAAAAGCTGGAGTGTCGAAAAGACGCGAAAAGCCCATTCTGGGCTGATTTCAGGAAGCTCCAAATGGAGCTTTTCGCATCTTTTGCGTTTTATTCTCACATGAAAAGACATGGAAAGATGCATGGAAAGACATGCATCTGCCAAACGTGCTTCAGGCTGCTCAAATCTTCATACAAAAGTTCAATGCGTCTTTTGTCTATCAGAGCTACTAGAAGATCTTCCCAAAGAGATACACCAAACGGGCCCTATATTTACTTGCTCTTGTATAGGTTTCTCTACCTTTTTCCTTCAAACCAAAAACTGTCTTAATTTGCCTTAAAGTATTTTTCTTGTACATGTTTTCCTACCTTTTCCTTCAAACTAAACACAACTTAATTGTCCTTAAAGTTCTTTTCCAAATAAAACTAGGAAAGTCAGGAATGTGATTTGTTTTCTATTGAATACAATTTTCTTCCTTCAAAGCTCAAATCAGGTTGACAAGCCCAGCCCATGTCTAATAGGGACTGGAATTTTCAACCTGTCCTTATAAATGGGCCGAGGTTAATCAATCTGATCAAACTGGGCTATCTGGGATGCATAATCCCAGGTCC